GGGCCATAACCGAGAAAATTGGGCAGGCCGATGCGCTTTTGTAGTTGGTTGATTTTCATGAGATGAAACGGTCATAGCAGCCGTTGGCATCAAACCGGAAGTTCGTGCTATGGTATCGGAGACTATAAAATCAATTATCCTTGACTTTTGACACAGTCCGCCATGGCAGCAAAAATGACTGCGTACTACAGGAGATAGAGTACCACTAAGCCAGCTGACCAACAACCTGTCCGTCCGAAATCCGACAACTTTTCCAATGGCTGTCTTCACTTTGGTGACCGAATCACTGTTCCCACCAAACTTCGCCGCCGGGTCCTAGCTCAGTTTCATGATGAACATCCAGGCATGAGCCACTTGAAGGCCCTCGTTCGCAGCTATGTTTATTGGCTTGGTATCGCTAAACATATGGAGCAGACCGTCAGAGCAGTTTCTGATGAGTAGATGCCTAGAAGTTACCCAACAGACAATTACCGTAGTCTTGATTGTAGGCACAGAAACTATGAACTTTGCCGAATCAATTAAGGGGCAAAGTTTCCTCATCGTCGTCGATGGATTCAGTAAGTGACCTGAAGTCTGTTATGTCCCAGACAACAACGATGGCAACCATTATTAAACTACAGCATTTACCTCCTGGAAACGAATAAGTCACAAAATGGAGCTCAGTTCATATCCAATCAGTTTGGAGAATTCTTTCGAAGATTCGTCATCACGCCTGTTACTTCTTTACCATTCCATCCGTCATCCAAAAGCCAAGCTGAGAGGATTATACATACCTTTAACCACGCGTTGACAAAAGGGGAAGGGATCACGATGGTGATCTTAGATACCTTCCTGCTGAATTATAGAGTAACTCAGAATCCTTAGTCTTCTGACGCTTGCTCTCTAGCAGTTTACGATGAACAGACGATTGAGACTTACCCAGGAGGCAATCCTGCAAAAATTCGTGTTTTCAATCACCGACAGGAGGGAAACCAACGTCCCAATCTAGAAACCTTGTGCTTGTGAGATACTATCGCCCCGGTCACCGAAACTGGACTGTTGGAATCGTCCTCAAATGAATCAGTCAGGTGATTTATGGCGCCCGGGTGGGATCATCCGTATGAAAACAGCACGTCAATCAGTTATGGTTCACCGGGTACCCGGTCCCAAAAGCTGGAAAAGTCATTTTCCAAGGCCAGCACCAAGAGGCACTACTTCAGTTGTACTGCCCACGATGGACCCATTGCTGCAACCGAGACAGTGGACCGATCGCGTAATAAAACAACTTGACCCGCACCGACAATCTTACACTGAATGGCGAAACGGGGTATCATGACAGTCAGATTCCCGAAAATGATCCCATAATGCTCGAAACTTAGTGGGTGTTGTAACTTGCTGGTCGGTAGTGCAACTTTGTATCGGTCCCTTGGCTTCCTGCTTCACCCACTATGATATATCAAAAGGCACGGCAGCTCTACACAGCTCTTTATGGCGACAAAGGAAAATTAGTACTGTATTTATAGGGTAGTCACAGTGTGTTCCACAAGGTCGTGCCAGAATCTCCGTGAGGGGGAGAGAAGCGTCGAGTCACAGACGCTTGACTCGGATTGGCTGGCATTCTGACCAATCAGGGCATGCCTTCGTTTAGCCCCGTGTCCTGCCGTGACACATCCGTCCATATGATGTGCTGTTGGGTTATTGGGGACGGTTGGCCCCCGAACAGTGGGACCCTCAAAATCCATCAAAATCGCAGTAGGGAAGCCGCCAAGCATCTGGGCCAGAAATGCCAGCTGCTGATTTTACGCTCAAGCAGTCAATCAGTTCAGCAATGGTCGACGGGGGCTGGTGTTCAGGCACGTTATAGAAGCAACGGCTGACGATGATGTGTATTCAGGTTTGCTGTAGAAGCAACGCCTACCAAGCACCCAACGTCGATAGGACAGCTTAGATTTAGAGTCAAACCTGCGCTTTAAACACCGCGAAAACACCCCCTGTAATTTTTTTGCTTTTGTCCGCAGTGGAGCTGTTATGTTCCTTGTTGGTAATTCCCTTTTTTCGACACCAAGGTATTGAGCCGAGGAGTGCTTTTAGTCAGAAGAAAAACCACTTTTTCTCCTTGATCTCTTATCAAAAACTGTTTTAGCTGAGCGACAGTGTGGTGGTTCCTTGGCGTTATTCGGTATGGAGTTAGGATGATCGTCCTAAACAAGAGATTCAGCTGGGTTCCGGGTGAATCTAGCAAAAACCACCTTTGTTTGCAAATGAGTGTAATTCGCTAATGATGGTCCCTGTTTGCAACAAACCACACATCGAATCAACGTTTTTGACCCATCAGAAGAATGTGAAATACATGGACCAGCCTTGTATTCAGAGTGGAGTCCCTATCTCTCGGCGTAGTAGGTAATCCGTGGAACAAAGCAGAGAAAAATCATGAATCCAGGTAGAAGCGGATACAACGATCACCATAAGCAGCAACATGAGTGTTGACGCTAATGCTTTACCGCCATGCAACCACAAAATTTTTGCGATTATATTTAGGGAGTGGAAAGAATGGCGGAGGGGACCCGGTGTACGACTTTCGCAGGCATTGTGAGGTGCCTGCACCAAGCGCACCAATCTAGAAACCGGCAGCAGGAGTGCCACTTACATCGGTGAGCCGTCGTTTCACGTGATTTATCCAGTCAAGCGCAGGAGAGTAGCCGGCTGCCCATCCTGGAAGACGGACCGTACTAATAACACCTTAACTCATCGTAATCTCTTTCACACACTTCCACCAACTCATTCGTTGTCCACCTCACGGTGCTCACTATTCTCAGTAAGGCACAGAGAGCAACACTCATCTCCGTTAACGATGTTCCGGCATGAACATTGCCGAGTCACCGCAGCTGGTGGCACTGGATTGTCCTATCAGAGATCAATGTTTGGATGAGTCAGGTGAGACCACACGAAGAAGTTCCGGTTCTGAATAGTACTTTAGCTACCTTTTTCCAGTGTTCGTTAATAGCCGACACAGGGCCAGCCGGTAGGGGCCGGTTCTGATAGGTTTGTTTGATTTCTATATCCATGAGCTTCTCAATGGTTAAGCGAGGTGAGCACATACTTGAAAAGCTAATGAAAGGCAGCGGGACAAGTGCATGGTTGGAGTCCACCCATGTATTCCCGGTAGGTAGTGATTGACCCTCGCCACCGGAAACTGACGGCACTTGTTCGAGAACATCCTTCGCCCTCAGCAAGGGGCCTCTGTTTCTCGCCGTTCGAAAAGTAAAATGATTCCGTCCGCGTTGTACACATGACCAAGTGAGAGACATTTCGCCCTTATTTCCAGAAAATTATTGCTGGCTGAGGAATTTGCGTTTCATTTTCCCTTAATCGTCTGCGTACGCCATGGCGGTGACCACTCTCATCGATACGGTTGCAACTTCCAACAACCAACACATTTCCAGGCAGTGTCGTGTTGGTCAACTTATAAACAGACCTTTGGAACCCAAAAGAACAGCGGGCAATCTGGGCTTTAGTTAGAAACAGTTATCTCAAATCCAAAAGATTAAGTTAAGAGACGAAAAATTAGTGTGATCGTTCTAGCTCGTAAGTGCATAAGAAAATCGGGACATACAGTATAGCAGACAAGGCCTGCTTTTCCCGATTATCTGACTAGTGTAATTTACATGACAACTACAACCATGGTGTAACGCAGAAGGCAAGGGGTCAAGTGTCTGGTCATCGAAGAAGCACATTCGGGTGAAAGACTGCGAACCAGCACAATTTTCTTTTGAATAAAAAATGTCAGGACCACGTAAGAAATACCATGTTTCGGTCAAGAAGACAGGTCCTATCTGACAATTGCCTGAAAAAACCGTTTAGTTTGAGACAAGAGTATTATTGATGCAGTGAGACGTCTAGTATCAAAATATACTGTATCAGCTCATAGGCAGAATCAGAAACCCAGGGGAACACCTAGCTACGCAACATTCCTGCGGCAGGATATATTCGACCCGGGGACACTTTTAAGTACCTCTCTTCCGGTTCGATAAGGTGGTCTAACTCTTCGGGGACTAGTAACTATCAGCGCATGAGGATAACGCGTGCATAATAGAATCCGTCTGGTGCATCCGAGTAGTGGCTTGGACAAAAGGTTTCTTGGGGCGAGACGGCTCAGTGGTTAGGGCACGAAATTACTGACCGGAAGGTCCGTGGTTCGAACAAGTCCTCTGCCTCTCGATTTTCCCGGCCCTCGTGCTTCTTTCAGGTGGCATGGCAGTCAAGCACCGAGAGGGTATTACAGCTGGACGACTGCTTTTTTGTAGGAGACTCCTTAGCAAATAGACAGTAAAGGATAAGTCAATACAGAATCACCTCACGCTTATGGAAACTAACACATTAATCCAGTGATGATAAATTTCCCTCCTCCTTGGTTGGTCCCGTTAGGCTGTGGAGAGATCAACTGTCATATCGAATCACGAAACACTTTCTTTGGCAAATTTTGGTCAGACTGCTCCTGGAAGAGACCGATAGCCAACGACGCTTAACCCTTTTTCAAGGTACTGCTGAACAACCCTAGTCACAAGCTCCACAGATGACCATTGGAGAGAAGTGAACTCATCTTGGACACAGTTGGGATCAGTTCATTAGTATACACGCGCAAGTGTAGTATAGGTCTAAACGTGACAGAACCAGCTGTCAGCAGCGGTCTTGGGATGAAAACGAAAAATCATCGGTTGCCGGCTAGCACAATATACTGCAGGGTTACTACATCAAACTTCAAGGCCAACACTGGCTGATTTTCCACGTTTCGAACTAGGAACAAAGAAAGATAAAATAGATTTTCAGAAACCACACCAGCTTTCCGTCCCTGTTGTGGCTCAACAGGTGGGAAATGCAGATATCAAGACGATAGGCTAACTGAAAAATCTAAAACAAAGCAATAAACCTCCGTTCGGATAGCTACGAGGCCCCAATTCCTTCCTTAAGCAACGGGTTGAAACAGTGGAATGTAGAAAAAACTATAATGTTGTTGTCATCGTCGTTTCTACAACATAGGAAAAGTTACGTTTCATTTTTACAGGAACATGTACCTCACTGAAAAACGGCGAGGACTATAATTAATATTCACACCCAAGTAGAGAATGTGATCATATACGCGTATGGGCAAATGAAGCGGCAAAGACCGACGGGCGACATTGGAGCGAGGAAGACAATGATGAGAAAAAATATATGCATACCATCGGGTAATTTTTGGAAGTGGGGTGTGGTTTGGATTAGAGGACACACTGTTCACAACGTGTGACTGAGTGTAGCATACGTGTTTCTGGTTGCATTCGGATGGATGAAAACGCGAAAGTGAGTATAAGATAAAGCATGCAGTTGAAACGCCTGTCTGTCCATTTGAGTACGGTTCGATTGATTACAAAACTAAATACATTATGAATCGGGACTGAAACACAAACAAACGTATCGGCAAGCAACAGAAGCGAGCAGTACTGATGGTTGTGATGGGATTAGAAAACAAGCAGGTATAAGCGTTGAACTTGATCGACAAAATAGAACGCCAGTTTGGAAACAACAACTGTCCACTGGGAGGTAATAAAGAAGCACACTTTGAAATGAAAAGACACACGGTCGCGCAGAATACCTTCGAACTTGATCAAAAATTAGTTGTTTGTATCGAGAGTAGCTTTGAGAAAATGAACCGGACGCATGTGAGTTGAAATCTTTTCCGAAATGAGACCTAGTCCGATGCAGGCTACATGATAAACCTCAAAAATAGACACGGATCGATGTGGAAGAAAAAAGATGAGCGAAATCAATGGTGAAATCAAGTTTCATTAGAAAGGCCAAAGCATACGAACGTGTTTACATTGGACATTGGAAAACAAACAAGGAACACCCGCATGCTTGGTAGACGGGCAATTGAAATTCTCACTGAATTTTAATAAGGTATAAAAGAGAAAAAATGTTTAAAACGAGACCGGCTTCAGAACAGAGAACTGTTGACCTTTATCTTCATGACATCAGACATGAGTTGGTTAGACTTTCAAATGAGACTGGATTAAAACAAAAGATATATAACATAAAGGAGAGGCGTCAGTTGTGGAATGAGCAAAAAACAGCTGCTACCGTTGATGTTCATATTGCCGCCGCCCGGAAACCCCACGATCTCCGATAAGAAATGCATGATAAAAATGAATATACATACATTGACAGGTAGTGGAAAAGCGGACGGGACAGACAGGGCACGGGCGGCGAGATCACAGGCGTGCGCGGTCATCCACGCGCTACTCGGTAGACCGGTCGAACGCATGAACGTGTTGGTGAGGACTGGCGAACCGCGAACCGGTTGGCCTATACCGAGAATCCAGAGCGAGAAGTAATTTCGAACATAATTTAACAATGTGCGCGCGCAGAAATCTACGAAGTTCAATTCTGGTCAATGGAGGATGGCTGACGTAATCTACATTTGTGAGGCAGCAGTATGTGGTAAATAATAAGAAGAGAAGAAAATGCTCGGTGAAGGTTGTAACACATGAAGCACAGGCGTGTTACTGTTGGCATCACCTGGAGTAGACTGTGTTTGGTTTGAGCCAGGGTGGTGGACTGACATTTGAGCACTCTGTGCGATTGACTGCTGGTGGGGGTGAGCTGTCTGTGATGCATCAGAGGCTGGCGCCGTACTGACTAAGGAACTCGCACCGTGGAATGGATTGTGTGGGTGATGTGAAGTAGCTGTCTCGCTGCTTTCCACTTGGGGTTGACTACCAAACAGTGGAACGGTGACAAACGCCGGTGTTGCAGTGGCAGCTGAGAGCATGGTAGTATTGCCAGACTGCGGGATCTGTTGTTGCTGCCGTTGTGATGTTGCGATAGAAAGCTGATGTGGGTTGGGTTGACCAGCTTGTATTCCCTGAGAGGGTGAGATCGTGATAGAGGGAAAGTGTGATGCAGAGACCATGGTTTGTGACACGTTCGTGGATGCAAGCATTTGGGTTTGTGGAGTCGGGTTGCCCGAAGCAAGAATCGGCCAGACAGCCGTAGCTGTAAGCTGGTGTGGCAATGAATGAGACTGTGCATAAGATACGCCCTCAGTGTGATGCCTATCCGAAAGATTCATGAGATTACCAGACGGGAGACAAACTTGTTGTAAAGAGCTGCCGAGATCCGTGGGTAGAATTTCTTCTACCTTACTGACAGGAAGTAGGGTAATAGTTGTGGTAGAGGTTGCCGTAGATCCCAGCGGGTCCGATCCGTCGGTCTTTTCTGATCGAACCACTGTCCCAGCAACAACTTCTTCCAGACTCGACAGGCCAGTGACCGTGGTAGTCGAAACATCGCAACCTAACTGGTCCACCGTACTGCTAGAGAGAAGAGCGATATTCCCCATACCGGAAACTCCCATTTTGCTGTGCGTGCGTTTGTGATTGACCAATGAGCCGTAATGCTTGTAGGATCGATCGCATAAGCCACAAGTGAATGGACGGTCCAGTTTATGCACGGCCGCGTGTCTGACTAAGTATCCCCGTTGTGTGAAGGCGCGCCCGCAGTCAATGCAAATGAATGGACGAATGTTTGTGTGACAACGCAAGTGAGCTGCGAGTCGGCACTGAAATGCAAATCGCCTGGGGCATGCTGGGCAAGGGAAATTACACGGTCTTCCTTTGCGATCCAACGGGACTGGACCTCCTACCGCGGCAGCCGCCGCTCCTGCGGCCGCAGCTGCTGCGTTCACATCGATTCCTTCGCTGAGATTGATTCCGGCCAGAATGTTCATACCATCACCAGTCTGAAACAGCAAACCAATGAAGTCGTATTAATTTCCTAGTGCAATTGCGTCTAGTTACATCCCTCAAACAGAAGGTAAATGGAAGAATTCCTCGTGTGTAGAAGCAGTCGGAGCACAGAACAGAAAGATAGGAGTTAAGGAGTTTCGAACAAAAACGGACCAAAAGTAATCTAACAGTAACGAAACAACACGCAGAACGAGCATAGGATAAAACAAGAGCACTCACTCAACCGGTTGCACCATGATTACTCAAAGCGGAGGCGTCACGAAATAAGGGTTGAGATAATTCAATGCTTATAGGTTTACTTGTGCTAACCTGCAAGTACAAATAACGAAACGGAAAGGACAAAGTTGATTGCCTTATGGGTCCTCAGACGTAGACGGCAACAGGCTTTTTGTGACCATACGTTTTCAGCTACTGATCGGTTGATAGTGGTACGACTCGATTAAAAACTGCAGGCTCAGCAGGCACGATTCGATCACTGTCTAGAGGATGCTATCCAAAACAATCACTTGAAGCAACACGGATGACCCACCAAGTAAACACATTGAACGATCACCGAACTTCACAAAGTCTGTCACATCCGAATGAAGAACCCAGTGAACTTCAGATTTTTCGGCTTATCTAAAGGCAGAAGTTGGGAGTGAGGGGGAGGTACTCCAGACAGACATCTTTTAGGATCTGCCTTCAGAATACATGCACTGAGACCCCTTCTAAAGCCTCACAACACATGTAGGAGGACGGCGGTAGATCCGGACTAATGCTGGGTGGTCCGATGGACTCAAACTTGCCCTGTATGAGGATGGCGTGCAACGCTGATTGTAAATCAGAGGAATACAGTCAAAGAGAGACTAGGATTCTGGTGCCCAAATCGCTGACTTGCTTCTGACTGGGGGGTATCTAGTTGACAGCTATGAATCTTATAGTAACCTATCGACCAATGTGCACGACTTGACTCTGAATCTAGGTGAGCAGCGTACTTCGTTACACAAGGTCCCAAGGAGAACACTATAGAAGAAAAACTACTATAGACGAAGAGCGCATGTGACAGTTTACGCTATGGGCTTTTGAGAAAAGATGAAAAGACCAAAAATGTATAACAGAACCGAGCACCACGCATAGGTAGTAAGAAGATACTCACTATCTTCCCAAACGCATTTTGTTTTGGTTTTGGTTTTCGGCGCCATTTTCTTTTGTTCGGAGAGCTTGTGCTAGTAGTCATGATCGGATTTAACATGCTGAACGGAGCAGCATACGAAAGCGTGGAAGTTGCCGATGTAGTCGAGGTACATGCGGTCCCGGACGTGCTGTGCAAGGACATGCCAGATACCATGCTGCTGTTGTTCACAACGGCCGCCGATGCAGCCACTGCTGCTGCGGCGGAAAGGAGACTAGAGCCCTGCAGATCGAGGGAACCTGAAGAACGAAATCGTGGTTCACACATTAGAGGTTAGTAAAAAACAAACGTAGGTGAGTGAAAAACAAGTGAAATAGACAGTATTTATGGAAGTGGAGTCAGACGACCACTGGGTGAGTTGGCCCAACATATGCATCATCACGTAACACACCTGACATCTGGAAATGCAGCAGTCTCTCTGCTACAGTAGTTACAGTGGACATCGGACATCTCACAGAAGTTCCTAAGCTTTGAGACCTTATGAAGCCTAGTTGAAAAAACGGCCACGAAGTTGTAGTTCAGGTTAGATTATAGGGGCCCTAGTCCTCCCTAAGTAAGCGATAAACCACTAGTTCCATTGATAGTCACCATCAGGTGGCAAACGGAACTTGACTGGTTTCACATTCTCGCATATTCAAGAAAGGTACTGATGTTGAATATCAATTAGCAGGCTAACATCGTCGGGAAGTAAGATTGCCGGAAGCGTGGGCCTGCATAAAATAGTGGTGAAATGAAGGTTGCGCCAACTGATATATCAATACACGTCCCTGTTAGGAGGCACTCCTCCTACGAACATATTGCTCACCTTTTTCTCTATATATTTCAGCCTTTCATTGGACT